CCGCCTATTTGCATTCGAAATTGGTGTTTATTTCGGCCGCCAAATCATCGCTTCTACGTGCTAAATTAAAACTGCAATTTTGAGTTGAATTAACGTTGAGTAACGTGAGTTTAAAAACGAGACATTAACTTGAAAATTACTGCGAAAATTTTTAAAAATAGTCCCAAAATGCAAATTTTAAACCGCATTAAAATGCCGTTTAAAGCACGGAAACAAACTATTTGGTTGGGCCGAAAACAAAATCCAAACGCCGTATTCAAATTAGGCAATGTTTGAAAAACCGATAAGGTCAACGGAAGTGTGGGCAAATTGTAAGGCTCAGCAAACACATGCAAGAACATTGACCGACTGAGCATAAAAACGTTCCAACTATTCGTATTCACATTAGTACAGTATATAGCAAGGCTATGAATGTACGTGCGTTTAGAAAAGTTGTCAGACAGACGTTACATTGTTATTTACACTAACATGCTTTTAAAAAGCGGTCTATTTGATCTTGTCGTACTCGAAAATAACCCAGAGATCTAACTTGTACATAGAAAACTGTGTATTGTAAGAAGCCCTAAATAGAACTTAACCAGGATCTTCGGTCCTACATCGAACCGTTCGCAACACCTCATTATGTACATTCATCACGGTTATTATGCACATTTCGACTACGGTAATACCCGATGCACACTATGACACGTAATGAGTGTTGTACCATTGAAACCGACAATAACAACGAGAATAGCAATTCCCATTACCCATGACTTTTTGTTGTCGAAAATAGACGAGTTCTGGGAAACGGCGGTGTTGTTTTCACAAGGCTAGTAATTAAAATTACAAGATCCGTGGAATTAATCTCCGGGTCCGACCTTTTTGCAAAATTTGTAATGCAATCGACGAATTTGGTAGATTACGTTGTTCAAACTTGCAGATTATAATGTAATCAAGCGAATTAAGTGTAGTCATCACAATAAAGCAACCGACATAAGTCTGACGATCGTAATATTAGGTATAGAAAAGTTCATACTTCTAAATCTAATATAATTGACCAATTCGTGTCCGTAGATTAACACGCCTAATTCAAGCTCAAGACAACAAAATCTAAAACCAAAATTACATTACTCCATCCATGATTACATTACTCAAGCCCGTAGATTACATTACAAACGTTAAATCTTTGCATCGGATTTCAATTTCCGTCCAATAATTTCGAAACTAATCCCGACACCCAATTCGGGCCTGATTACTGTAACGTACAAGTTGGCATTTGAAGGTTGAAGATTGAGAAATCGAAGCTCTAACACGTCATTACTAAAGATAAAACCCTTTACACTGAATAAAATCCGTTATATTTAAGCGATTAAGTGCATACTAATGCATTTAAGACCTTTTTGAAAAGAAGTACTATTATACAGTGGATTTTTCAAAGCTTATGATGATATTGCTTGAGCTATACTGAATATAGCATTACTAGATGAACGACACTTTCAGATTTCTAGAGAATTAAGAAGGTGTTGTAAAGTGAACCAAAGAAGACTTATCTTCTTTGGTTCTGTGTTATCTTATAAGTCTTCTTTGTTTTGTTAAAGAAGCTTCAAGAAAATGATGCTAGTTGAACTTTTAAAGAGTTAAGAAGCTGCTTTGCAAGAACACCAAAACACCCTAACAAAAATTGATTTCAACAAACTATGACCCTATCACAAAATTTTTAGGTAATCTTGTTAAATAAGAAATCGTAGTATAACATTGTAACTCTAAGCCATCAAAATGTTATATTACATCAAAACCACAACACCAACACCCTCAATCACACCATGACAAAAGAACATTCATCCCCCAAGCAAAAACAACAAAATATCCCGCGAAACACGTGACCGGTCGTATCAGTGAATCCCAACAAATACCCTGAACTGTGAACCGAGTGCACTTGAGCCGACATGTTAATCGCTGATAAGAGCGGAACATTAAACAGCGACCTCATCAAGGTCAAGGCAACACCAGCGCGATAAGGATCTTTTGCATTGTAAACTTGCTATCAAAACAACATATTATCATTGAGTGAACATGTTATCATTGAGTGAACATATAATCATTGAGTGTAAACCAAGTGTTTACTTTAAAAGGTGATTTACTGCAATTACACTATTTACCCTTTAAAGAGCATTAAACTTTGGTTATTTTGATTCTGACCATCGTTAAACTTTGGTTATCTTTGTTTTTAAAAATCATTAAACTTCACCGCTATTTTTACTTTTAAAAATCAGGTAAACACGCATTTTTAATGAAGAAAAACTTTAAACACGCGTGTTTACCAGTCACAAAAACAGCGATTTACGATCACCAGAAACAAACTCATCGATCATGCTTGTTTTGAAGCAGTAGTTCCTCGAATTTTGTACTTTAAATATGAAATAAATCTTGCAAACGATTCATCCCCCCCCCCTCAATTCTTGCAAACAAGCTGGCTGGAAATTATTTCGTTACCTAATCTATGGACGAGTCTATACTTATGCCGTATATCCTCATGATCTTGCCGATGCAGAGTTCACATGTCAGTAACAGCCTTTAAAGAAATTCACATAACAGTGACATAGCCTTTAAAGATCAAATCGCCCTTTAAAGAGCCCAAAAACTTAAAAAGACATTTTAAAGTTATCTCAAAGATTGTTGTCAAAAACAGTCCTTGTAACTTTAAAAAAGCATCGTAAACAGTAGAGTTTTACAATGCTTTTGACAGTAAACTATCACGTCCTTCAACGAAACCGGCTGTCCATAAAACAACACACAAACAGCAGATTTCGAAAAGTTGTTTTTGTAAGTTTTTTCAATTTCTAGCGAAGTTGGGAAATCGATAAAACCCGCTTATCAGTAAATAAGAACAGTGCACGACTGCAAAAAGTCACGTAGGTTCGAAAGAGTGTTTTTAAAGATCAGAATCGTCTGAATTCAACAAAAAAGCTAGCTAGTTATACTGTCTACTGTAGAAACTGATAACAACTCCTATATTTTTAAAATTTGTAGCCGATCAACCCCCAAAGCTAATAGTCGCTAGTCAATTCTGCAAACATTTTATGATTACTGATAACAACTTGTCAATCCGCTATACGTATGAGACTACTGATAAGCGCTAGTCTAGCTTAATATGGCTATCCCAAAAATTTTTTAAGGAAGTGATAAGAGCCAATCAGATCAAGTTTACAATGCGGCTCATAATTCTGTTTTGATAACAGCTATCAGCAGTGTTGATATCTATGAATAGTCGCTTAATAAGTGATAAGAACTATCAGTTTTTTAAAAAAGTGATAAATGCTATCAATGTAACATAAAAGCAACGTACTCAACTACTTCTTTTGAAACGACGAGACTTTGAAACGTGTATAAACAAGCTTCAAATTAAATAAACTTCAAAATTTGTCATAGATCACAAGATACGACGACTACGCAAAGATCAAATCAATTTCAATCAAAAAACGTTGAAATTCGCAGTAAAATCACCTTCGCAAGAATCGGTGTAAAAATGCCGTTGGATTATGAATTATAAAACAATCAACGTGAACGAAGCCGGCTCGAAAAAATGGCGACCTTGAAGGGTGCGTGAATCGCTCAAGGACATCAAGATGATCAGACAGACAATGCAGGGGATGGTCAGCGTGAATCTAATTAAAATCACAAGAAATCCGCCGATTTTATCACGAAATTGTAACACATTAGTCATTCGTACGCTTTAGATTGAAGGTTTTAGATTTTGCTACGAAGTATTCTAATGATATCTTCAAGATTTGACACAGAGTATTCTACAAATACCCTTAATATCATTTAAAAATGTTTAAACTATACTAACTACAACATAACTAAATCATAATTGACTCCAACGTAGTGTAACAACCTAGTTTACATTCAAAAGACCTCAGTCTGTCTACCACACAATAGTCGAATTAGTGACCTTCAGCCCGTAATTGAATTCATTTACGAATTAGAAAAAAGTAAATTTGATTCAAATTGAACATTAATCAATTTGAAAAAAAATCGTCAAAAATTTTAAAAATCTCAAAAAAGGCTGAACACCGTAATCAATTGGAAATAAATCAATTGTTGATAAGATCCAACTGATTATGTCATGTCTATGTATCAAATGCTACTGATCTGATGAATAAACATTGAGTTAGCAAAAGTGTCATATGGTTTTTGAAAAAGCGTAAATATTGTGTTTTGGTTAGCCTACAGCTATATTAATATTAGTTCCAGACAATCACCAAATCAGCTAATAATAAAGTCATAATTATCTATTTTCTAAACCATACAACCCTTAAAACCGTCCCAGAAAGTCAAAGCAAAAGACAATTTTGAACCCAATAAACGTTCAAAAATGACATTTTTCAATTCTCTACGTAATCGTATTCATAAGTTATTTTTAAACCAAAAAGATTTGTTTAATCCGGACAAATTTAAAATTCCAAAAAATTAATTTATAGATGTAGACAAGTCTACAAAGTTCTTAAAAACGTGATTTTCGATCCAAAGAACATTATTTTTAAAGCTTTAGAGGCACAAAATCTAATTTATAATCCTTTAAAGTTTACAAAATCCCTATTTTTAGCCTTCAAATTCTTAAAAACCTTTTTGAAAGCCAAAAACGCAAAATTTGAAATCAAAAAATTCAAATTTAAATCCCCAAATTCAAACAATAACACCCAAAAATAAAAAAACAGCCTTCTCAAAAGTTTAAATCTTTAAAATTCAAATTCATGATGTTTGAATCATCAAACGGCTGTCATAGCAATGAGAACATAAAATAAATAGGGCAATAAGCGGTCTGGGACAACGCCAAAGAACACGTTTGTTTATAATTATGTTTCATCACATTCCGAACAAATCATCCAGAGCAAAGACCGTGATATAATTTTTGAAAAACAAGATGACTTTTTGTACAAAATATCAATGGAAAGCCAGAAAATCGTAAAAAAAACAAAATTTAGTTCAAATGCGTCCCTGCAACAATATTTTTCAGAATTTTAAAAATTCGCCAAGCTATTTGTCTAAAATTATTTAAACTACCCTAATTTAGGTATAAAATCCCATAAAATCAACCACAAAATCACAAAAAAAAATAAAAAATATCGTACCTTTATCCATTTCCAAATATAACACCAATTCACAGTACCGTACTCTCCAATGACCCAAAATAGAACCCCTAAACCAACCTTTTTGTGCCGTTTGTCTGGACTCTTTCCCTCCTTCTCCTGAGCTTTCTTTAGCTTCCTTTGTGCCTTCCTCTCTGTCTTGGCTCTCTTCCTCTCTTCGTGCACTCTCTTCTTCTCTGACTTCTTTTCCTTGTCCAGCGGACTAGCCACGATTCCGCGAGCACGACGATCAGCACGTTCTTTCCGTCGCACACGACGACGTTGTGCACTCTCCTTGAGTTTTTGTTGTTTCCTGTCGCGACGTTCCTTTTTCTTCTTTAGTTTCTCCAATCGTTCGACTTCGGCCTATAATAATATGGTTTGGTTGTACAATAATATAGTTTTAGGTGTATTATAATTGCTTTTATAAGAATTACAAAAACAATAAGTATTTTACATTGAATAACCCATACTTTCGCCTTTCACGTCTAATTTTATATTATAATCGCCAACTTTTACACCCAGTCTACGCACTGTATTTTGTACATAATAAGATCAAATTTCATTAAAAATCCCATCAAAATTATAACTTTACACCCCATAAATAATAAATCAAATCAAAATTATACATTATACAAAATAATTATACAAAAAACATAACTAATTCAAATAATAACCCATAATTACATCTAAATTTCAAAATTAATGTAAAATGTAATGATTAAAAGTAATTTAAGATCATAAAAATTCGATAACATCATATATTAAGTATGTAAATACCATAACGTTCGAAAATGAAATTCCTCAATATTCAAAAATATTACACAATGTTTTTAAAAATAATTTAATCCCATAAACCAAAAATAATCTCAAATTTAATGTTGTTAACCAATAATAATTAGAAATTCAATCTAGTCGATGAGACATAAACGATTAATGTTCGTGCAAATTGTATTGAAATATTATTCATAATATCTATATTATATGCTAGAACCGAATTTTTATTTTGCTTTTATTGAAGTAAAAAAGTTAAAAATAGCCCTTAAAGTCTACTATAATATAGTCCAAAGACCAAAAGTCCGTTAAAAAACCTTATGCTAATGCCCCCGTGTAAGGTTTTTTAACCTCACAATACAGTTTTTAAAGAAAAAGTTCATGCATTCTTCTCGCCATTACATTATAAATACTAAATATCATGCCATATTAATCACCATGCACTTTAACACAAGAAAACAGTTATGTTAATCAAGACTTCTATTGAATATTAATTCAAAAAAGCAACTTTAATAAAGAATGCAATGGAAATAGCGTGACGACGTCAAAAACACGTCGCTTCATTATCATACACTACAATAATCATAAATTCTGCAACACCATACAGACTTATTTTAACTCCAAAAATTAAGTAAGTTTTTACATTTTGATCTTATTAGTTTAAAAAAAAGCTAACTTAAGTAAAGGCATAAAAAAACACGCAACGTATCTTACCCTAAACGCTATTCAAACTTTACAGCTTTTTAACTTTCTTACCTAATTTCTTACCTAAAAAACAAAAAAATCCCCTTGAGAAAATAACTAGAAAAACACCTAAAACACGAAAATACACCTAAAACAAAAGTTATCATAGAAAAAACTGCCTCTAAAATTACTAATTGACAAAAAAACCTGATTTTAGCCACTAACAAAAATACCATGAATAATATCGTCTCTCACAAACATTTTTACATCGTAACAACCAAATAACTTCATTCTGGAACCATCCTAAAAATATAAAACAAAGTAAAATCACTTACCTTAGACTTGCGGCCCTTTTTCTTGTGACTCCGTTGGATATTCTTGATGAATCCGTCTTCCAAGGCTTGTTTTGCCTTCTCTTCTAAGATTTCTTTGCCTCGAACTTCGTTTTCTTGCTTTCGGAATACCTAAAACAACGTAATTTTATATTTTAAGATAGATATACTTTTAATATGCTTTTAGGATCTAAAATAGTGTAAAATTAAAAATAAAACAAAATTTTTAGAAAATAATTCCAAATGAGTCGTTTGCTATCTGTTTGATAAATTTTGGGTCAAGTGTTTTTTATTAGTAAAATACGTTTAAACCTAGACTTTGGCAAGGTAAGTTCTATAACGATGGAAATTCTAAGTGAAACTACTAATATTATTATAAAACCCCCAAAGATTTTATAAAAACCCCAAAAATTATTCCAAAACCAAAAAATGCAAGCAAAAAACCAACCTTGTAGTCTTCTCTGTGCATGAACATTAACAATTCAAAGTTGTCTATGAGAATTTGATCAAACAATAATGCTTTCGGGTCTATGGCCGACATTTCCTGTAGTTTTGGATACCTTTTGGCGAAGAACTTTCGATAATTAGGACAATGAAATCCGTCGAAATCTGGCTCTTCTGATGTCGAAGGTTGATTAGTGTCTTCTGACGGTTTGTTCTCTTCTGATTTTATAGAATTTTGGTTTGGTGGCCCTTCGGGAGTTTCTTGTTTCGTAGTTCTAAAAATTAAAAGTTATAATTTAGGTAACAAATGGTTTTAACGAAATTTAGGTAACAATTTGTGTTTTAAAAAGCTTTTGTTGATTTTTTGATAATTTTGAGTTAGTGAAAAGTTAAATTTCAAAAAAATTGTAAAATACGCCGGGAGCTCCAAATAATCTGAAAACCTCCATTTTATACCTAAAAGTTCAGAAACCAAATCAAATTCACTTACTTAGTTGACTTGAACCCATTTTCGCTTGACGGTGAAGTGACTCCAGAAGTCGACGACGAGGCCGACGAACAACATGGAGTCGTGGTGATTTTGTTGTCGATCCCACAATCCTTTCCTATATCCGAGATGATCGGGGTGGCCAAGCGTTCGGCCACTGTGTCCCCACTCTCCATCACGAATTTGTACTGCAACATAAAGGCTTAGGTTAAGATGTAGAGGTATTTTAAAGTTGAGGTAAAATTCACAGAAAAATATACATAAAAAGGCTTTAACAAGATAAATTTAAAAAATTGAAAAAAGAATTTTTGAAAATTCGAAAGAAATTCACACTTCAATTTCGGCGGGAAAACATTTTTTTCAAAATTTACTAAACTACCCTACTATGCTACAAAAAACTATTTTTCCCAGAAAACCCTTCAAAAATAGTTGAAATTAAAGTCGAAAAACTGCAAAAACTTTTTCGAATTCTCCACATTCTATGGTAACGCGCGAAGGTACCCTCGATTAAACGCAAGACGGGGGGAGAGAAAGCGCGCGAATGTCAGATCAAGATTAAGGACACGCAATTGCTCGACCTGACAAGCTTATTATCAAGAGCGGATTTGGATTGTACCCAAAATTATGTAAGCTCTAAGGTTTTTATAAATATTGCTCGTCCATACTTGGACAATTTATATATTTTTTAAAATTTACAAAAATTGTTTAAAAAATAAAATTTAAAAATTATGTAAAATACGCAAGGGTAACAAGATACTAAAAATTATATGTTCATTTTATGCTAAAGTTATATTACTTTTTAATATTAAACGTTACTAACATTTGTTTGCACGGTGCAATGAAAAATTTGAAAAGATGCCATGTATAATAAAAGTCATCATAACTTTTGGACCACATTATAAAAATAAAATGTGAAAACGTGCTTATATTCAAAAAAACCTTGTTTTTTCGTCCTGTCAGTAGTGTTTTTTGTTTTGACTACATTTTGAAATGGCAAACTATAAAAACGTTGAAAATGTCCCAAAAAACAAGCGAAAAACCCTCGAAAAATCTCTAAAAATAACCAAAAGTAGCCAAGCCTTTAAATATAACTTCAAAAACTCTTTTTAAAGTCATTCTTAAAAGCCAAAAAATGTAGCCAAAATAAAATTGTAACAGTTTCTTTTGTTTTACTGTAATGTTGGTTCTTTACACACCGAGTTTAAACGGTAATTGGGAGAGAGAGAGCAGCCGTCTATCAAGGAAGGTCACGAATGTCAAGAAAATCAAGTATGTCATCGAAACGTAGTTAAAAAGCTAAGGCTAATATAGGATTTTGAAAAATGTTTATATCTTAAGGCGCTACAAAAGTCTCGTCGTCAAATGGTATTAATTTGTTATGTAAAAAGCGACAAGACTTTTCGACTTCATAAATACTTTAAAAATTAAGAAAAAAAATTTTTTTTGAGAAAACAGTGTCTTCTTAGTAAAAAAATCATAATTTTAACAAAAATTACAGTAAACCCAAAAAATATTACAGTACCCCTTTCATAGTTAAAGAATAAAAGCGAAAAGCAGGTTTTGTGTTATTAATAATGGCTTATCTAATCAGTGTCTGTTTTTTACTCTTTAGTCATAAATAAATGCCTTCTCGAGTGTAAAAAGCGTATCCAATTTCGCAACACAAATATCCAAAAAACAAATAAACGAATATTTGGCAACAACAAGGGTAAAACATTAGGTAGAGTACAAATAAATGTGGGTATGTTCGTTTAAGTTATGTAGGATTGAAATACGTACGTGTGTACTGAAACTTTTTTTTAATTGTACTATAACGTGTTAAAATTGAAATAATAGAGCGTGTAGATACAATTACATATATTATGTTGTTCAAATAATTCTGCGCCTTTTACCAAACATAATTTTTGGAGTTAGAGGGCACAGAATTATTCAAACAACTTTATATAATTATTACAGTCAGAGTAAGGTGGTGGTGTTAAATAGATAATTGAGAGAGGCGGGAAAGGTCCTCCTAAAATCTTTTCGACTACCACCCCCATATTAAAAATGGTCTTCCTGTACTGCACACAGTATATAATCCCAACCTCTTCTACCTTTTTCTCCTCATTCCTTCCTATTCCACCTTTTGTACTTATAACCCCCCCCCCGTTCTCCTACGTTTTCTACCCAAAAGTTTAAAAAAGCCCAAAATTTATCGCCATATCTAGATAACCGTTAAAAGTGCAGTCAGAGTAAAATAAAAATAACTTTTCCAAAAAGTGAAAGTAAGTTTTTGCAAGTAATTAATCTATTGCGTGCATTTACTTTTATCACTTACTTAATTAGGCCAGTCATATAATTAGCCATATTATTGTACTCAAAAAGGATTTTATAAAATATAGATACTAAAAGATGGGTTTATTAGTATTAGGGGGTGTATAAGGTTACCCTTAGTAGAAATATTACAAAAATATGGCAAAAAATTATTACGATTGTAGTTATAGTAAAAATAAAAGTATTGCGGTAAAATGATATAACCGTAAATTTTGAGCTTTTTAAGCCTTGAGGTCTTAAGAGAAGGAACTATATGAAGGTTTAGGCTACTTAAAAAGGCTTTGTACGTTATTTTTAAAATTTTAATTTTTTTGAAAAATTTTATCTTTTTCTGTCCCCTCCCTCCCTTCCCCTAAGTAATAAATTACCCCAAAACAAACCCTAACCCCCTCCCAAACCGTGTTGTACTACAAAGACCAACCTGCCAAATGTTCTGTCTTCTCGAACATTTTGAAGTGAACAAAGATTAAAAAAGTTTAAATCCAAAAAAATCAATTCCAAGCCCAAAAAACCTAAAAAAACACCCCTCAAACTTCCCTATAATGCAATTCAATTCTCATTGATGATAACTCCATGCCCTGAGGCGGAATTACAACAATTTCGACTGCCAACATCACTATAAACAAGTAAAGAACTTTGTGAACAATTTTATCGAAAAAAGAGAAAATAAAATGAGACGGTCCCTCGCCAGCTCTCGGCTGGGCTGAAGGCCTTCGACGCTGCTTTTCGCCTGCTTCTCTGCCGTGCTATCTCGTCATGACTCGTTTTCTTTGGCCGTTCTCTCTTTCGGCCTTTCAGTTGGTTTATTCTTACTTTTCTCTGACTTTCTCTATGCTCTCTCTTCATATTTAACTGTCTCTCTTCGTATCTAACCTTCCTTCTCCTCTCCCTGGCTTTTCTCTCACTTTCTCTGCTAACTCTCTCACTTTTACGCACTCTCTCAAGGTCAATGAATATAGTTTTTTCAAACTCTTGACAATGAAATTGAAAAGATTAGAAATAAAACAAGAACTTGTCAGTAATAATTTGTTTCCCCATTAAATTATGTTGTTATAGACTTATGTTAAAGTAACATTTTTAAAGGAATATGTTGTATATAACACACATCTTCAAAAAGGCGTCTTGGTATGTGGCGACAAACAAAACAACAGTGAAGGAACGTGAGGGTGAAAAGTCAAAGATCTTGTAATAACAATGTGGTTTGATAAAATGACTTTTTTGCTGTTTTTGACAACATACGATGCTTAGAAATATCACCTGTCATATAGCCATTATAGCCAAAGTAAAAAATTTTTTAATTTTAAAAATTTATTAAAAAACTTAAAAAAACAAAAAAATTTTTTAATTCAAAATTAATATACCAAATCTACTATAAATACATACATGGCAACCCCTATGACCACACCAACTCCCTACAGTAACCGTTTACAGCCCTGAACCAAAGTAAGTAGAACTGTTTTTACTCGAAAGTTCATCACAAATCCCAAAGGAAGTTGTTCGCTTTCTGCAGAGCGAAAAAACTTTTGATAACGTTAAAAATATATCTTCTACGGAACACAGGATGTTTTTGCTGTGGAAAACACTTACGGCGGCGAAAAAAAAGTTATATTAATATGCGGAATTGATCTTGAACATTAATGTAAGGAAGAGGTTTTTAATGTTAAAAGTTAAAAACCTTTTATTATTAATGTTAAAAATTAAAAAACAAAAAAATTTTAAAATTGACTTTTTTTTGTAAAATACGGGATTTAAAAAATATAGAAAAAAAAGCTATAAGTGCTAATTAATTGTTTGTCTTTTGACTAGGTTTTGACACAAGGCAGGACATTGAAAATTTTGCACACCTCGCCCTTTGCTCTGCTACGCCTTGCCCGGTAAACGCATTTCATTGCGGTACTGCTCTTTGCTCTGCTGTGCTCTACCCGTTACCATGCGTTTCACCGTCGTACCCTGCCCTGTGCGTAACCTTGCTCCCAACCCATCACTTTTTACCTAAAATATATTTAAAAAAATTTTTTTGTTGTTATGTAATAGAAACACAAAGTTATTTTCAAAAATGTACTTTTATTTTTACTATGGACAATAATCGATTACATCATAAAAAGAGGAGTGACTAATATAAAAAAAGAAAAATACAAAACATCTTTTTTTCTTTTTTATCAGTTTTTTTGTAAAGTTTCTTTACAATATTGTTCAATGCTTTTAAACGGTTAAAAAGCATTATTTTCATTTATTGACTAAAAAGACAAAACTTGATTTTTTAAAGTCTTGTTTAATGTTTTTTTTTCTAAAATTAAAAATAAGGATAACAAATTTTACCTTCTACCTTTTGTTTACCTTCCTTTTTTAAGGTTACTTTCCCTCTGTTTCTCAACTACCCCTCTCTCTCTTAATATTCACCCTTACCTTGCACCCTTCTCTTGACTACCTCTTTCCCCGCGTCTTACATCCGTCTACCCCTTCTCTTTTATCTTCTCTATTCTCTCTTTTTTCTCAATTTTTACCATGCCGAGTCGTTTTTTTAATCTTAAGTTGTTCATATAATCCTGTGCTCTTCTGACAGCAAATTTTAGGGGTTTGAGGCACAAAATTATTTGCACAACCAAACAGTTTAAGAAAATGCATAAATTTGCATAATTAAAAATAATTGCAAAAACTACCTTTCTATCCCCATCCCCTTCTCTTCTTGTTACCCTGCTCTCTTCCTTCCTTTTTTGCACAATTCATAAAGCAACTAAAGAATGTCACAAAGTAAAGCAAAATTATAATTAAAAAGCTGTCCTCTGTGTCACTAAAAAGAACGTTGGTTTGTTTTTTTTTCGGAACGATCTTTGGGAACGTTTTAAACAAAAAAAAGACGAGGCGTGTGTTTGGAAAGAGGTCG